AAAGGAAAACTTGAAATCGCATCATATGACCCCTTTAATTACTTAAGTTGTTGCAGACAGACATTTATTGAATGGATGTAAAACCAAGCACCAAAAGACTAGAGAAACCAATCCATAAATCCTTCCCTCCAGCAATTAACGTTTCATTTTGTTTGCCGTTTGTTTGTTTCTGTATTTATCCCCACCCCTAGGTTAGACGAAATGCCTGGGGTACTACAAAATACATGGAACTCTATATAGTAGCTGACAACACGCTGGTAAGCTGATGATGCCTGTGTCATGCTCACTTCCACTAATTAGACACTTCCACACAGTAAAGTTCGCCACAGGAATAAAGGCTTTAAAGCTTCAAATACAGGCTGAGTTATATAAACTGTACTTTAGAACCGGTACTTTAAGCCTAGTGTTACGTTCTCATTTAAATGTGGCCACTGAGCAATTGCTGTTTAAATTTAAAGCTTCGGAAGTGCCTTTTCACTCTCTCCCTCTCTTTTCTATCACTCCCATTGCCAATATCTTACATGTATGAGGAGCTATCAAGAAGTTATCAGTGAATTTAATAGTTTAATTTTTAGTCCTCGTGTATGAGGGATACATTTCGTGAGGGGCATGCAGACAATCTTTCAGTGTTACATTCTGTTGAGTTTTCTGATTGAATTCTTTCATACATATACATTGAATCTGTATAATATCCACCAAAAGCCAAAAAAGGCAGGAGGTTATATAATATTTCATTATGGCTGGATTTAGTTAATCAAATTTCTCTGTAACAGGGTTTTTGCAATTTCTCAAGCAGAGTCTATGCATTTGTATGTTCGTCTTGATCAATTTGCCTCTTGGCATTTCTTCATGTCTCTACAGTACAGAAAGCAAAACAAGGACCTTTACAAAACTAAAATGAGGATAATGGAAATTGCTAATTATGTAGATAAGGTATGTCAAGCCTGAGTGCATTTCTTTGGTTCAAAGGTTTTGTTTACTGTTTAGACTGCATATTTGTTCTCGGAATGCGAAATTCCTAGATGTCTGTATTATAATTATATTGAACAAATTAAATCCTTTTGCCATGTTCCTAATTGTTTGTTTTGGTCTGATCAGTTCTACAGAGACTTGAACATCCGTGTACCTCTGATTGGTCTAGAGGTTTGGACTGAACATGATCAGTGCATCATCAATGAGGAGCCAAATTCGACTCTTTGGTCCTTCCTTCAATGGAGACAGAAACTTAAATCCCGCAAGAAACATGACAATGCCCAACTACTCACGTTAGTCACAAAACACACCAACTGTATGCACATATAGAACAAGACTGTCAGAGTAGCTTTATTGTCATTTCAGCTCTATACAGTTAGTATACAGTGAAACGAAACAGCGTTTCACTGTAACATATTTTAATGGTGTTGTATTAAGTTTTTAAAAATATAATTAGTCCGTTTTATTCTGATATTTTTGTACGGTATATTTCACCTAAAAACTGAAATTCTTTCATATTTACTCACCCTCTAGTCATTCCAAACCTGTATGAAAAAAACACGTATAAAAAGAGAAAACTGTTTG